CGCCGGAGTCCAGCAGGTCGAGGCTGCGGTGGCCGGGAGCGGCCACTGCACTCCAGTCTGGACGACAGAGTGAGACCCCAACTCAAAAAAAAAAAGAAAAGAAAACATCAGAGTACCTACTCTGTTGTAAGGTAAGGCTTGTTCCATAAAATTTTTGTTTCCATTACGGAAGAGGAGGGAGTGGTCATTGTGTGCTGGGATACAATAAAAGTATATTTATTCATCTAGGCTGAGGTCAGAGAAATTTTATAAATACTACAGAGTTGGTAGACCAACACTGGTTTACATAGAAATAAATGTAAAGTGTGTGTGTGTGTGTGTGTGTGTAGGGTAGATAGCAGTCTTCACAATACAGCCATCGGCTGGGTGTGGTGGCTCACACCTGTAATCCCAGCACTTTGGGAGGTGAGAGGATTGCTTGAGGCCAGGAGTTCAAGACTAGCCTGGGCAACATAGTGAGGCCCTCCCAGTCTCTACCAAAACAAAACAAAACAAACATTTAGCTGGGTGAGGTGGCACATATCTGTAGTCTCGGCTACTCAGGAGGCTGAGGTGGGAGGATGGCCTGAGCCCAGAAGACTGAAGTTGTGGTGAGCCATGATCATGCCACTGCACTCTAGCCTGGGTGACAGAGTGAGACCCCAACTCAAAAAAAAAAAAAAAAAGAATATAGCCATCGACAATTATTTTAAATTCCTTTGGTTTTAATTTTTCTCCACATTATCATCAACACTTCCCAGGGTGTCTGTTACTACAAAAACAATGCTAACTGCTTTATCTTTCTCATAGTGTTTCAGCAGATCTAAGTTTTGTTCCACAGTTATTGTTTGGGGACATATTTTTCCCCAAACACTAGCACTACCAGTTGGTTAACACTATTACAAATGGAGTTTTATTTGATTGAGCTTTTCTATCTACCCTGCAAGGAAGATAGTATATTTTATCCATTTCACAGACAGAAAAATAGGCTGGGAGATAAAGTAATTTATTCTAATTCATACAGCTGACAAAGGGTGGGGCTTTGGTTAAAATGGAAGGAAGGGTTTTATGATGATGATGATGATGATTCTAACAGTGACTGTTAAAACAAAAGTACAAGATCACCAAAGTCCCTCCCAGAAGTTCCACAGAAAACAGCTGCTTTCCAGGATGTGGACAGAGGCTGACGACATTTCTATTTACCATTGAATCTGGCACAGCCATAGGCCACAGAACACCTGGTTTAAAATGCACAAGCTGCCAGCTACAAATGTATGCCATGATAATTATTTTTTAACTTACGGAAATTTCTATTGTTATTTTATACAATATGAGACATCTTATTGCCAGGTCACGATCTTACAAAATCAAATACAGCTGGGTGCAGTGTTTCATGCCTGTCATCTCAGCACTTTGGGAGGTAGAGGCAAGAGGATTGCCTGAGCCCAGGGGCTCAAGACCAACCTGGCAACTTGGCAAGACCTCATCTCTACAATAAATCACAAAATTAGCTGGGTGTGGTGGTGCTTGCCTGTCGTTCCAGCTACTTGGAAGGCTGAGGCAGAAGGATCACTTGAGCCCAGCAGGTCGAGGCTGTGGTGGCTGTGAGTGTGTCACTGCACTCCAGCCTAGGGGACAGAGTGGGACCTCAACTCAAAAAAAAAAAAAAAAAAATCAAATTCAGTCAACCCTCACTAGCTGTGAGAGGATTGGTTCCAAGGATCTTCATGGATATCAATATCCCCAAATGCTGTAGTCCCTTATATAAAATGGCTTACTATTTGCATATAACCTATGCATTTCCTTCCTTATGTGATTTATTATTTAGTTTAGTTGAGACAGTGTCTTGCTCTGTCAAGCAGGCTGGAGTGACATGGCAATGATCACAGCACCCTTCAGCCTCAACTTCCTGGGCTCAAGTGATCCTCCTGCCTCAGCCTCCTGAATAGCTGGGGATACAGGTATGCACCACTGTGCCCAGCAAGATTTTTGTGGTTTTTTGTTGTTGTTGTTGTTTTTTGTAGAGATGGGGGGGGTCATCTCACTGTGTTGCCCAGGCTGGTCTCGAATGCCTGGCCTCAAGCAATCCTCCTGCCTCAGCCTCCCAAAGTGCTGGGATTAGTCTTGAGACACTGTGCCCAGCCACCCCTCTATGCCTTAACTCATCTCTAGATGAGTTATAATACCTAATGCAATGTTAATGCTATTAAATAATGGTCATAATATATTGTTTTAAAATTCATATTATTTTTTTCCAATGCTGTGCAAATCACAGGTCCCTAGACCTACCCTAACCCTCCAGAATTAGCATCTTCAGGCAGACCTGCTTGATGATTTTTGTGCACCCTAGGCAAAGACTTTATGGGCCTCTTCCCACTCGTGTGTGTGTCTGGGTTCTAAGCACTGTGCCTACTTTGCCTAATGCCTGAGAATATCCATCTTAGACAAGTTGGAGTTTTATTTTTTCTTTTTCTTTCTTTCTTTCTTTCTTTTTTCTTTTATTTTCTTTTTGAGTCGGAGTCTCACTCTGTCTCCCAGGCTGGAGCGTAGTGGCATGCTCACGGTCACCGCAGCTTTGACCTACTGGACTCAGACAATCCTTTTGCCTCAGCTTTCCAAGTAGTTGGAACCACAGCGTGTGCTGCACCACCAGGCTTTTTTTTTTTTTTTTTTTTTTTACTTGGAGTCTCACTCTGTCGCCCAGACTGGAGTGCAGTGGCCACTTCCGGTCACCGCAGCCTCGACCTACTGGGCTCCGGCGATCCCTCCACCTCAGCCTTCCAAGTAGCTGGAACTACAGGCGCGCGCTACCACACCTGGCTAATTTTTTATTTTACTGTAGAGATGAGGCCTCGCCAATTTGCCCAGGCGGGTCTCGAACCCGCGGGCTCAGGCAATCCACTCACCTCAGCCTCCCAAAGCGCGGGATTACAGGCCGAGCCACAGAACCCGACTACCAGTCTAATTTTTTGATTTATCGTAGAGATGAGGTCTTGCCAAATTGCCCAGGCTGGTCTTGAATCCCTGGGCTCAGGCAATCCTCTCGCCTCTGCCTCCCCAAGTGATGGTATAACAGGCATAAGCCACCACGCCTGGCTAATTTGTCGATTTATTATAGAGATGAAGTGTCACTGAGTTGCCCAGGCTGGTCTTGAGCCCGTGGGCTCAGGCAATACTCTTACCTCCACCTCCCAAAGTGCTGGGTTGAGAGGCATGAGCCACCACACCTGAGTAATTTTTTCGATTTATTGAAGAGACAAGGCTTCACCAAGTTGCCCAGGCTGGTCTCAAACCCCGGAATCAGGCATTCCTCTCGCCTTCACCTTCCAAAGTGCAGGGATGTCAGGCGTGAGCCATCACGCCCAGCATGGAGTTTTCTAACAGTCAAGTTTGAAAAGCTCTTGGAAGGGACCTATAGGAAGGCTCCAGTATTAGTTACTCGGAGTACTGGCACAGCGTGGTGGTCATGGCATTTTGGAGTCAGGAGACCATAGATCTAAGTCTGAGATTTAGGTTCAGACCTATGCCCGTTTGGACCTCTCAGAGCCTTATTCCGCCCACTTGTAACCATGGTCCTGTCCTCCTGGAGCGCGCTCTTTGGCGTAACCGCGAGGCTGACTAGGCGCGGGACTGGGAACACGGTCTTGGAGCTCTGAGGGCGGAGGCAGCGCTGACCCGCCCGTGCCCCTCGCAGATGCCAGTGCTGAAGCAGCTGGGCCCCTCGCAGCCCAAGAAGCGGCCAGATCGCGGTGCCCTTTCCATCTCGGCGCCTCTGGGCGACTTCCGGCACACGCTGCACGTGGGGCGCGGCGGCGACGCCT